TCCAACAAATCCTCACGCTCATTATTCTTCTTTTCCAATAAATCTCTTTGTTCTTTCTCCTTCTTTTCCAACAAATCTTCACGCTCATTATTCTTCTTTTCCAACAAATCTCTCTGCTCTTTCTCCTTCTTTTCCAACAAATCTTTCTGTTCTTTCTCCTTCTTTTCCATCAAAACAACCTTCTTTTCCAACAAATCTCTCAACAACTCTTTCTGTTCTTTCTCCTTCTTTTCCAACAAATCTCTCAACAAATCTCTCTGTTCTTTCTCCTTCTTTTCCAGAAGCTGAACAATTTGGTTAATTACGTTATTCTGAGCTTTTGGGTTGTTGGCAAGCTCGGTTAGATCGATTAAGCTAAAATCATGAGAATTTGCATAACAAACTTCTTTATTGCTTGAGTAACCACGTGTCCACCGAAAATTCAATAAAGGCAAACGAAGATTACATATACGTAGAGTGTAAACAGGTGCTCTTCTCCACGGAAATCTCGAGAGCTTAAGTGCAATTGTTGAAACCGACATATTAACTTGGAAAAAAAATTTTGTAAGCAGAATATGTATTTATGTAACCCAAATGATCTGCAATTTTAATATAGTCAAATTTTCTTTACTACAGAGACGGACGAATTTTTTATAATAAAATCAAATTCTTACGCATCTAACTGTATTTTTCTAATACAAATAATCATCAACATATGTAATGTATCATTATTTAAAGAATCACGTAGCTTAGTCAATTAAATTTTTTTACTACACTAGAAAAAGAAATATTACCAACAATTTAATAATATTTAGATTAATGTTAATAAATTAATTTATCTATTAATATATTTGATAATTATTATGTATAAATGCTTTAAAAATATTACATTTTGGGCAAGGAATAACTAAGACGTACTATATCAACCATGAGTTAAGAGTTGATCCCCTTGGCTATCCATAAAAGTCAAATGCTATCTGCTTCAAATTGCTGAAGATTACTGAAGTAGAGCCAAGAAAAGTATATGATGGTGGATAGTGCAGATGGTACTATGAGGTTAAATCTAAAGACTTGATAAAGAATCATTGGGATTCAAGACTAAGACTGAAGATAAGTTAAATACGTTGACCCAAAACCAGTTGCATTAATGTAACATAGTGCAAGTGTCTGAAATTACCTTTTTGAGCTATAGCTTTAAGAGAAATCAGATTTTAATTGATTTTAAAGTATATTTTAATTCTGTATGAAAAATTTATAGAACATATTCATATAATTTATTAGACATTCATTTTGATTTTAAAAAAATCTAAAAAATATAATGTTATGATCTTGATTTCAAAAAATATTAAATAAGCTTACAGGAATTATAAGAAGAGATCTGAATTATTTGCTAAATAAGTTTGGAAAATAATGATACTTCTGATAATATGAAGTGTTTAAGTTTAATTAGTCAGATAAAGTAATATAAAAATTATAGCTTTTAAATTAATTCAATTAAGTAAATAATTAGAACAATTAAAAATTATAATAAACATTCTTATTTTAAAATTATTATATTAATAAGATTATATAGTCATTAAATTTTATATTGAACTATTATATTAAAATGATTATAGAATCTTAAATATTATCATAAAAATAAAGAATATAATTCCAAAAACATTATTAAAATTTCAGAATATAAGAAATATAGGGATAAATCATCAGATATATAATGTATATTAAAGATGATTCCCATAATTATTTTTAAAATTTTTAACTAGTTGCAACTTAAGTTGCAACACTTTGAGTTACAACTATTTATGAATTTTTATATTAAAATAAATTTATAAGGAGTTGCAACTTACCGAGTTGCAATTTCTTAATTATAGTGTCTATCTTTAATGTATATGATTTGTTAGCATTAAAATTCCTATATATTATTCATAAAAAGCTTACTATTATAAAATTTTCAGATTTAATTAATACTTCAAATTTTCAAATCATTTCTTAATCAAGATTTTAAATATAATCTTAATAAAAAATTTGTATAATACTTTCAATTAATAAATATTTTATTAATATATTTGTTTTATCACAATTAATGTTTCGCACAGATCAGATCAGATCAGATTTGGGCAAAATCTGATTCGATCTGAATCTAAAAAATCTGAATCTGAACCTGACTAATCTAAATCTGATTCGATCCAAATCAAACAAATCTGAATCTGAATCTGTATCTAAATCTGATAAATTCAAATTCAAATCTGTATCCGTATCTAACAGATCAAAATTTTTTAATAAAAATCTGTCTCTGATATTTAGAACAGCATTTTAATATTAAAAAAATAACAATTTTGTTATTTTTTAACAAAAATCGCCTCTGAAGTTCAGAATGGCGTTTTAATAGTAAATAAACAACAATTTTGTTGTTTTTTTTAACAAAAATCTGCCTCTAATGTTCAGATCAGCATTTTATTATAAAATAATTGATTTTTTATTAATAAATGCTATGTCTAACTTTTGGGATGGCATTTTAATATAAAAAATTAATTTTTATTAATTTTTTTATTAATAAATACTGTGTCTAACTTTTGGGGTTAATTTTTTTAATAATAAATGTTGTGTCTGACTTTTTGGATAGCATTTTATTATAAAAATCAATAAAAATCAATTTTTTAATAATAAATATTGCATCTGATTTTCGGGTGGCATTTTAATATAAAAAATTAATAAAAATTAATTTTTTAATAATAAATGCTGCATCTGACTTTCAGAACGGCATTTTATAATTAAACATTAATTTTTTTAATAATAAATGCTGCATCTGACTTTTGAGGTGGCATTTTAATATAAAAATTAATAAAAATTAATTTTTTATTAATAAATGCCGCATCTGACTTTTAGGGTAGCATTTTATTATTAAAAATTAATAAAAAATTAATTTTTTAATAGATGCTATATCTGATCTTTGGGATGACATTTTAATATAAAAAATTAATAAAAATTAATTTTTTATTAATAAATGTCACATCTGACTTTCAGGTGGCATTTTAATATAAAATTAATTTTTTTGTTAATAAATGTCACGTCTGATTTTTGGGGTGGCATTTTAATATAAAAATTAATAAAAATTAATTTTTTTATTAATAAATGCTGCATCTGACTTTTGGGGTGGCATTTGAATATAAAAAATTAATAAAAATTAATTTTTTTATTAATATATATCACATTTGACTTTCAGGCAGTATTTTATTATTAAAAATTAATTTTTTTAATAATAAATGTCACCTCAGACTTTCAGAACGACATTTTGTTATTAAAAATTAATATAAATGAATTTTTTATTAATAAATATCACCTTTGACTTTTTGGATTGCATTTTGTTATTAAAAATTAATAAAAAATTAATTTTTATTAATAAATGCCGCATTTGACTTTCAGGGCGATATTTTTCATTTCAAATCCAACAAATCGGATCTGAATCCAAATCCAAATTTGATAGATTGAATCAAATCAAAATCCAGATCTGGATTTGATTCGAATCTGATAAATCTAATTCAATCTGATCTGTCAAATCTAAATCTAATTCAGATTGAATCAGATTTTTTTGCGAAACACTAATTACAATACATATAAATGTAATTAAGATTCTAGAATTTAATTTAATTTTTAAATATTTGATTTAAAAATCAAATCAAATATAAAGTCAAATTTATAATTGATTTGATCTAATCAAATTTAAATCAAAGAATAATTTATTTGATCAAATCCAAATTAATCTTTGATTTGATTTAAAATAATTAGTAAAGTTATTTCCAAAATTTAGAAGTAGGTTTTATTAAGAAAACTACAGTGAACTCTTAATATAACGAATTCTAGGATCTGGATATCAACTTCGTTATAAGCTTATAACGAATTTTTTAAAGAATTTAATTGGCTAGTTCACTATAGTAAATGTAATTTTAATATATTTGATTTAAAAATTCGCTATATCAAGGGTTCGCTATATCAAGATTTGACTGTATAGTAAAAATACTTTTATGATTTTGAAATATTTTTTATTAAGAAATATCTTATATAAATATCTTTGTAATTTTATAGATATTTATTATTTATTATACTAGTTGAACAATAATAAATAGAAAACCAATTAGATCAAATTTAGGTTATCAGATTTGACCTGATTGGTCTCCTATTTTTTTGTTTTTTTTTAGAATCAGATGATTCTGATTGATGACGAATAATGGTATAGATAGGATATAATAAGGTTCTAATCAGGGTATTATAAGATATCAATAGAGTTATTCTTATTAATTTTATTAACATTCAGTTTTTAATCAGATTATCTATAAGTCATCAATAGTGATATTCTTATTGTTATCTATTATACAAATAGCATATTCTGATTGGTAACATTTTATCAAATTATTATACAGGTAATTTTATAATTGTTTATTTTATACAAGTAAGTAATCCTGATTAATTATAATAAAAAGAATTTTATTATTGATATAATTTACATTAATATAATACATTTAATTACAAGAAAAGTACATTTATAAATAATAAAACTTCTAATTATTACAAATTTATTAAATTTAATTATTTGCTATATTTGATAAGAAAAAAAGTTCACTCCTATTAAAGAAAGAAAAAAATTAAAAAAACATCACTAGATGAGTCCTAATTTGTAGACTTATTTTAGTCAATAAGTAAGAAAGGACCACCCTATTAAAAAAAGAAAATTTAAAAAACTATTATACTGATTTGTAGACTTATCTTAATCAATAGTAAGAAAAGTCAATCTTTATTAAAAAAATAAAAAAATTAGTAAAATTCAAAAATCACTATCCAAAAGAGTTCTGATTTGTAATATACCTTAGCCAATAAACAAGAAAAGTTCACTCCTAATAAAAAAAGAAAAAAATTAATAAAAATAACAAAACCACTATCTTAATTTATAAACTTATTTTAATCAATAGCAAAAAAATCTACTTTTATTAAAAAAAATTAGTAAAAATCTAAAAAAATAACACCAAAAGAGTCTGATTTGTAATATATTTTAGCCAATAAGCAAAAAAAATCTACTCCTAGTAAAAAAAAAATAAAAAAATTAATAAAAATTCCAAAACCACTATTCCTATTTGTAGGCTTATCTTAACCAATAGCAAAAAATTCCACTTCTATTAAAAAAAGAAAAAAAATTAGTAAAAATCTAAAACCCATCACCAAAAGAGTCAAAACCACTATCAAAAAAGTCTCAAAAGTTACATAATTTATCCAAAAGAAAGAAAGTTTCTTTACTAAAAAAGTATTACTAATAAAAAAGAAAAAAAAATCTAATAAAGAAAAAAGAAAAAGGAGAGGCGATTTCTAATTTATTAAAAAGAGGTTAAATATATATGATATACTATGACACTCAATTTTCATAATAAACAAATTGTATATGTTAATAGAATTGAAAATGATGATATTTACTATTAAATCGACAAAATCATATTCAAATGCGAAATTCATTATTAATTGATGAAATTTCACATTTAAATGATGAAAATCATCT